ATTTACTTTGATTTTTTATTTATTAATTTTACTATCTTAATAATTTTTTTTATTGCATCTAATAGTTTTGTTAAGATTATTTTTTATTCTTATTTAAGTCATAGTTTTATTACCTTTTACTAATTACATATTTCTAGCGATAGACAAATATACATGCATGATTATAAACAAAATTTTTTTGTTTACATTTATTAGTGATGGTCAAATATAGTTTTTTTCAAATTTATGTGCATTTGTGTATGAAATTTTTGGTCAGTATTATGCTAATGCAGGCTGGCTTGGTCGAGTTATAATATTACTATTTATCAGTTTTACTACTTTTTGCCAGTTTTTTAATCTTTTTCAAGTTTCACCACCTTTTGCCAGTTTCGTCACCTTTTGTCAGTTTCGCACCTTTTGCCAGTTTTGCCATCTTTTGCCAGTTTTGCCACCTTTCGCCAGTTTCGCCATTTTCGCCATTTCAAAATTTTTTTAGTGAAAGTCGAAACTAGGTTTCACCTTTCGCCAATGGTGAAGCCTCTAGGTTTCGTCTAACAACTATAGATGTAATATATAGTTCAGGATCCGTTAGAGATTTAGATTCGTTTCTTTGGGTCTGAGTCGAGTTATGTTCAGACATGGGATCGAGAGTAGTACCATTATCTTTACCAGACTGGTCTTTGATAAGTGGTGAAATATTTTTTGCGGGGGATACTTCCTGTTCATTAGTGATAACCTAGGTCTGCTTCTGTTCCAATTTCGCAAATCGATTTCACTTTCTTTTGCTGACTGTTCTAGTTTCACGATTCTGGCACTGAGCTCAGAATCTCTTAACTTCACATTCTCAGATTTTCTTTTGCAGATTGTTCTAACTCCACAATCCTAGCCATAAGCCCCGCTTCCTTAGCTATAAGTCTTACCTTCTCAGCTTCAGCTCAATAATTCGTTGTTTTAATAGATCAAATTCGGAATGCATTTTAATAACTTTTTATATAAGCGGGTTTATTTAATTTTAATTAGAATAAAACACGTGACAAAAACCGTCACGATTCGTGACGATCAGAAAATTATTTTTCATACAGTATAATTAAAGATGGGCAAAGTAATTTATTAAGTAATCAATACGTATTTTTTATCGTTTAACTAATAATAAATAATATTACTAATGTTAAGCAAATTCTTATTTATCACTATCACATGATGATAACGTAAGAAATGATTAATTAAAGCTGAGATTAAATAAACATGTAAATTTTTGTCGTCAAAAATTGAATTATCGTAGAACAGGGCACAAAATCCTATTGTAAAATTTCGGAAATTTCCGTTTACACGTGACAATTTCCGCCTTGACTTTTCATCAGTCGGAATATGATATCATAATACGTAAATATCATTATTAAAAAACTGCTACATCCGGCTGAGTTTTCTAAGTTCCGGTTAAAATAAACACCGCCGGAGAAAAAGCAGCTTCCGGCATTCGGAAATTTTGTGTCCTGTCGTAGAATGACTTATTATTACTTAATGTTCAAAAAATTAGATAATGTTAAGTAATATACATAATAAATTTGCCCATCTCTAAGTATAATTCATAAGGAGGGTAGGGTATTATAAAAATTTTTAGGAATAGCGTATTTATTTACAAAATTTATTGAAATAGATTACTCAGCGAATTAACTATCTGCCAATAAAAAAAATATTCTACTTTAAAAAAAAAAAAAAAAAATATTGAAATATGAGTTTTCAAAATCTACTCAAAAAAATGCTATGTTTTTTACATTTGGGGGGGGGGGGGTATTATGACGCACCATGTTCACTATGTGTTTCGTATTGTATTATTGCATCCTTCCTCCGGACATTACCCAAATGAGGAAATATATTATAAAAATTAAAAGAAACTTAACACCGTCATAAGCAATGTCGACTTTTACTTATATATTGTGATTTAGCAAAGAACCAAAAAAAAATTTATATTATTTGATTCGTCTCAGTAAGACGAAACGAACGATACCAAAATTACTCGATTCTGATCAATGTATCACGAGTTATCGTCAAAAAGCATGAGTGCGTCACAATACCCACCTGCTTCATAATACTCTACCCTCCCTTATATACATCGGAATTACACGAAAAAATAATTCATATTAATATGTACGATTCTTTATTAATGAAAATACATGATAAAAAAATAAAAAACGGATTAATCTGGACAATGTACAGGGCATCCTATACATGAAGGTGGATTTTTGTCATCGTCATCACCACCTCCGCCATCGTCGAATAAATCAAAATCATCATGTGATAGTCGTCGTAGTGAGGGTTGTCGTGATGGTTGCCGTGATGGTTGCCGTAACGGTTGTCGTGATGATGGTGCATTTTTTTTACGTTTCTTAGGTACATGAACGTAATTGTAAGTTTTTTGTCTTTTACTGCGAAGATTATATGGTGGCTCTGATGATGTTGTTGCTATTGCTGATGGTGATGATGATGATGATAATATTGTTGTATTATTATTATCATTGTTGTTGTTGTTACTATTATTATTTTCGCTGACATTGTTATTGATATTATTATTAATTTATCATTAATATCGTCACTATTATCGTTATTGTTATTATTATTGTTATCATCACCATTATTTTCATCATCACCATTATTTTCATCACCATCATTATTTTCATCATCATTATTAATATGATTATCCTGTATTCTTTTATTTCGTTGCTATTATTGATGTTCTCATCATCACCATTATCATTATGAACATTATTGTTATTTCCGTTGTCGTTATCACTGATATCTTCATATAGAGCATCATCACTATTATAATCTTGCAAAAAATCATCGTCTTCATTAACCGAACCCTCACCCTTCCATTTATTTGAATTTCTAATTAATTCGTCATTTTCTGCTTCTATTTTTTTATCGATTTCATTTAGTTTGCGCGAATGTTCAAGCTGAATACGTATTTTTTCTTCTTTATAGGCCATGATATTATGTTTCTATTCCAGAAGAATAATTAATAATAATACTAGAGCTGATATATAAATGCAAAATAAGTGGTTTACAATTACTCCGTTCCAATAAGTTTCGAAGTTATAACGTTTTCGTTCCGAGTTGACCTATTGTAAGAAAAGTATTTATTAGTGTTAACAGTGTATAATTTTTTATTTAGGGTTAAGGAGCATGCCAAAATCAAATGGTTTAAGGTAGAGGTGCGAACATTTGTCAGGTCAAGGGTAGCTACCCTTCTACGTCGTATAAAATTTGGGTAGCTACCCAGTTACGGCTATGACGTATGTTATTTCATGTTCTAATGTCCGCACCTTTAGTTTAGGGTAAGCCCTATAGTACAGTCAACTCTATATATAACGAACTGACGAGCCTTATAGTAAAAAATTTTCAAAGTTCGTTATATAGTAATTTGCAATATTTTATATAACAAACTTATAATAAATTTGAAAAAAAAAGTTCGTTATATAGTATGTTCGTTATAGAAAGGTTCGTTATATCCAGAGTTGACCGTATAGAGAAATCAACCGATAAAAGGCATGCCCCAAAAGGAAGACGCGTAATCGATTCCTTCTCCGAAATCAGTTGACCTTTCCAACGACAAAGCAGGGTGCCCGAATAGAGAACCTGGAGTGGTTACCAACTTGTCATACCCAGTAGTTCTCCTAGGCAATGCGCACTTCGACTAGGAGTTACCCTAACTTTGCAAAATACAAAAATACACACCGTTCCACTTAAATCTTCACCAAGTATTTCCGCCTCTGTTATAAAATTAGTAGTCCATTTGTTATCGAGATTCTGTTTGCTGGAAGTAACCAGAATAGTAGCAATGATTGTGCTCCGATGAAGAAGTAGAAACCCCCAAAAGATTTTTTATGTCGCGTCAAATATGAGTGTCGTAAGTTAAAAGAGCCCATTTTTATCTCATTTTGAGATAATAGTTTAAATATTTGTTTTGATTTTCGGACTGATCCGGATTAATTTAATTTCACGATTTTGATTGGTTAAAGGTAACAGGTGACTAT